GCTGGCCTATTGAACGGGCTTCATCACCTGATTCGCGGAGGAAGAACCTCGAAGACGACCTTGATGCACTTAAGTACTAGGATCCTGGATTCGCATCTCCGATACGCAACAGACATCAATCCCCAAAAAGTCCATTGTACGCGTCAGAGACGCTTGTTGACCTATCTGCATTAAGGTCCTCACGTTGAAGGCCCCTAGATTCAGTGGCTGACGAGGCCTCAGAATCTGCTATTTATTTTGTGGTAAACTACTTACCGGGCTACTTGGCGACGAACTTTGGCGAGTGACGAACAAGTTGTCTGAGGGTTGGAAGAAGGAGCAAAGGGAGAGGATTGGGAACGGAAGACAAAGAGTTAAACAAAGGTTGGGATATCTGAGCAGTAGCCCACTTATCACTACCCACCCCGATCGATGCAATGGGCAGCGCGGTCTTGATTATCCTGCGCGACGACCGATGCAGTATGGAATTATTTTTTGATTGTGTATGCATTTGTGTGATGGTGGGACAAAAGAGATATTTTACCTTTGTTATTGGTATTTAAATTGACACCTCCAGCAATTACTGAAGGGTGTATCCGTTAAAATAATGCAATATACTCACACCCAGAAGTGATCCAGTCAAATCCAAGGATACCAAACCAACAAAACGGATGCTTTGGGATGATCAATCGCACACTAAATCAGCGTATATGCGGTGAGAATTTGCCTGACAATTGAGGTAGCCTCACGGAAATCAAATGGAAATATTCGCTATTCAATAAACTGATTTATAAGTAAACGGATGTGAGGATTGTTGCTCAAGATGAGCTAACCATGCAGTTAGGAAAGAAAGAAAGGGAATAGACCGAGGAGTATTTTGTGAGTGAAACTTGGATAAAATCACACGTTTGAAGTGAAATAATCTAAGAACCACCAACTCACTCGGTTCAAGGTGCGAGCCAGACACGGAGTTCCGTTACGACTGGCCAGAGATGGGTAACGTCGTTGCAAGAATGAGGCTTCATCTTGCAATGCCTCCTCGATCGATTTGCCCGCCTTTATATCCGCCTGAGATCGGTTCACCACACCAATAATGCCCAGTTTCACGGGAACGACACGACCCAAAAGTAGATCGTGTGCATCTGTACCCTGATCCATCAAATCTAGCTTGGTCAGTATACACAATGTTCGTCGACCTACAGAATGATATACGCATTGTGGGTGAGACAGAGAGGAATAAGCAACGAGATACGAGATCCAAGCAGAATGATATTGCTGTTCATCTTTCCATATTTTTATTGCACACCAAAAAGTGATGCACGAAAAAAGGGGACGGGTCTAATGCCAAGAAGGTCCACTGTTCGTTTGAGCGAACTGGAAACATATGCTCTGGGACTTTGAGGGATAAACCACAGTAGGATAGACCGCACAACACTAAACAGTAAGGTATCAAAAGTACATCGGTGTCTGTGGTCGAACGGTATGGGCTTCTACCTTGAATGTTCGAACACCACTTCTCCCTTTTTATCGCATACGTTAGTTCCAGCTGTTATCCGGAAGGTGGCCATACAAATATGGTAAATTGGATTAAAAAAAAGTCAAAGATCGTCTTCAATATGACGTGGTTTGTTCGTTTGTTTGTTTTGGCATTATACCCCAAGCCGTATATTGCATATATTGCATATATGTTTATATATCCTTCAACGAATCCCTGATTTTCCATAGATTTAAACAATGTGGGACGTTTTGTCATACTCTGCGTAAAAAACACAACAGAAACCTACCATCAGGATCGACCATTTTAGCCAGTTTGAGTCCTTCGCTTGTGGCCATATCTGTGTTTGCTGGGGTCACGGCAAGGATTACACAGTTCGGATTTTGCACGTATTGCAAACACAGTTGATTGATCAACATCTCAATATCCTCGGGCTGATCAGCGACCGGGACTTTGGTGATACCGGGCAAATCGACCAAGGTTAGGTTTAGCACACGTGGGCTGAAGATTTTCAGATTGATTGGTTCACTGCTGATTGCCTAAAAAAAACAGTGTTCGAAGTTCAGAAGGGGAAAAGCAGGGCCACGTTTAGTCTGTTCAGATACATGTGTGCATGCAGGGGTGGTTGACGAAATCGGCAAGTCATCATCGGAATCAAATAAATGTAATAAAAAATTGTTCTACATTCAGGAATACAATAACAATGAACACAAACCTTCGATCAGAGAGGATTTTAGGCGGAGGAAATAGAATCCCACAAGTCACCTCATCTTCATCGTTATACAACGAGGCAAAGTCAAATAAAATTAACTGATTATTGGCAAGCTCCCGATGTACATAACGTAAGTGAGAATGTACAAGATAGACAGGGATTGGGCCTAATTGGATGGAGGCAAAGAAAGTGAACCCATATGATCAGTGCTGTCGTCCGGTTTAATACCACGCCTAACCTATCGGGGCCTTATGTGGTTCACCACTCCAAGTCCCGGGGCTTAGATTGCCGGTTTCTACCACTGAACAGCAGAATCTCGTGGCTATGGGGTTTACCCCGTTTGCTGTTCATCACACTTAGGTGTGTAATAAAAAAATCTTTAAAAATAGTACGCAACCTAACAGAGATTGCATGCCTTTTCAAGCACTCAGACCTGATACGAAATGAAAACCCTGAACGCCATTGTTAATCGTTGGTTGTCATATACCTCACTGTGTCCAACCAACCAGTTTCATAGTCTTTTGGACCCCAACCTGAAAGGCGGCAGACATACTCTACATAATCGTTCTGTACATTTCTTCATGCCTCGTTTTCACGGTATCTGTGACCTCCACCTGAAGTAGCGACCGCAAATAAGGCGCGGTGCGGTAAACAACACCTGTTGGCACACAAGAATAAACTAGCATTCATATTTAATACCAGCCTACAGAGCTGAGAGAAGGAAAAACTGAGGGGCATCTCTTTCAATGTGGAATTGGCATGAGAAAGCGCAACTGGGGAGACAAAACTATCCTCGACTGAACCATTACCGTGGACAAAGATGACGGGCCTGTAGGCATCCGATTACCAATTCATACCAAATAATCTGTGAGTACCGTTCCAACGAACACGCCGCGAGCCAAACTGGTTAGGTTGACTGATTAGCGTTGCAATTCAGAGTGCACTAGCACAGGCGACGTAAATCGACTGATCAATGGCCCACGATAATCAGTGATGGAAACAATCCATTCTTGTTCTCAACATTAACCAGGCCAAGGCGGTTGACGCGATAAACACTCACACCTCACATCCCTTAAGTCGCTATGAGCTCTTGATATAACTGTTCGTCAATTGATCCATAGAACGGTACACTTACGGTTAATCGTGTTTTAAAACCATCATGGGTGGAAGGGGGAGACAGAAAGATGCAGAGAATTTTAAACACCAAGTTCACGTAGTTTATTTCAACTGATACCGGGAGAAATGTTCTTGGTGGCTATGGATGTCAACGATGAAATACTTTTGGCGTCCAGTAAACACTGAGTGACGGAAACCGTGTGATATGTGTAGTCGAATGTTGACGATATAATAGAGGACGAAATAAGTATGAAAGCGAGAACACTGTGCTCCATCATCCTCGTAAGATTACGGAAGGTTTGGAAGTGTGCCGTATTCGGAATGATCGTGTCTAAACTGATGACCGTACGTGGGAGATGAAATCCATTGATTGATTGGTTCGAGTCCAAAATGTGGTTGAAGCAGTATAAGAAACCGGGAACGTTATTAGTTGTAAAGTGCCATATTGTAACGAGAAGGCGAGCTGGCTGGGAAAACGTCTATTGATCCAATTCAAAAACAAACAATGTATGCATTCGATTATATACAGTCAATTATCAATCGCGCGGTGGGATGATTCATGCCTCTTTCTGTGGGTCATTCCTTGTTGGTCTTGGTCCGCACTTGGCACGTACGTTGCCTCTTCTTCCGCGTGCCATTCCGATTGGTTTGACCCGATCGCGGCGCGAGATGCGTTGATCGACAGCTCCGACGTTGTGGCATTCGGTGGGTATCTTTCCCGTCAGCTGCATATTGTCTGTCGGGCTATAATTGTCGATTCGCTCATTTCGGGTGGCAGTCAACATTGTATCGCGAGGCGCTTCCCGCCGCTGCGTTTGCGCGTCTGGTCGGATGAGCCCCATTCTTGATTCGGTTGCTAACCAGAACTCTCTTTATACTGCCTTTCATCACAATATGAAACGCTGAAACCTGAGCTTGAGATATTCATGTCCTTAAGCAGTGGTTTCGTTTATTCGCAACCGTGACAATGTTGATCATGCCAAATTCAAACTGGCGATTCGGTGCGAGTACACAAATCTCAGCGAGTGAGTCGACTTCCTTAGATTACACTGGTTGAGGAATGCGTGTGTGTGTGTATGTGTGTGTATTACGCATGCCATCAAACAGGCTACCAAGGTACACGATATCTGCCGACGTAGGCGATGAGTGGAAAAACGTCAAGAGTGGTCAACCGAAAACCTGGTATGAAGGTATGAAAACTCTGACCAAGAGATTTGCTCACACATGGGATGGGTCGGGGCCTCGGGATCAGCATATCGACGGTTTGAAACACGGCGACATGGTCCAGCCGTAAACAGTGGCTCTCCGGCATTTACTGGTTTTTCTTCCAACAGTTTAAATGAATCCTTTGTGTTCTCCTTGACACTGCTTTCAACATCGTAGTCTTCAATTTTTTTATTACACACGTTAGCGTGATGAACAGCAGACGGGGTCAACCTCATAATCACGAGAACCTGTTAGTCAGTCATGTAAACAGGCAACCCAAACCCAGGGACTTGGAGTGGCGAACCACATAAGGCCCCGATAGGTTAGGCGTGGTATCGAACCGGGCGACAGCAAAGCAAAGTTGGGTGGCGGGGATCGAACTTCGAACCATAGGGTCTGCAGCATGCCGGTGACAGCGAATAAACCACTGCGCCACCACCCTCATCGAAACGAACAGTCAAAAGGCAGCAACCAAAACTGCCGCACGAAAGTGCATGGCTAATGGTAGCTCTAATTGAACCGGGAACTACGACGGCGTATGAAAGACTCAGAAAAATCTAAACTCTCACGAACAGAGAGAATATGATTTTATGCGTGAGGAACATTTTAAGCACAGTCAGGTGTGCTTCCTGCCGAGAACCAGGAGGGAATGAGATGAACGGCGCTTAATGTACAAAACCATACTGCTCTTGAGTCCGCCAGAACAAACAAGTCAATTTAATGCCCTAAAATCAAATTCACGACGAGACGAAGGAATGGGTGGGTATGTAGTGATCAATGACTCGTCATCACTAAATATAACATTGGCGAGCAAACACATCTGATCGAGTTCCTAGTGACGATTTTACGTGAATGAGGGACATGCCGCAGGAAGAAAAGAAGCCAATAGATTATATGAAAAAAACGCGGAGTCACGTGAATCGTAAGCGACTGAGAGACAAGTGGTGTCAAATGGTTTCGCGAGGCGACAACGATGAAAATTAGTGTGCCTGAATCACACTGTACTGTAGAGCACATCCCTCAAAATAATGTTATGGTAAAAGCTAACGAAGAAAAAATGAATGAGATGATCCAATGTGTTCTCGCTTCGTTCATCGGAGATTCGAGTAGTCTAGTGCATGCGGGGGGATATAGTTTCGGTTGCTGAAAATCGTACTATGAGCTACTTTGAATGCTCAGCTTACTCCGCCTAGAGTAAAGCCTATGGATACAAGATTCAGATCCAAGAATCAGTTTCAGTTTAAACAACCATTAGGCATGCATTTCCGTGCGACGCTTTTGGTTTTAGTCTATAGGCAGTCCAACAGGAGGAAAACAAGAAGGTTGAAAGTTGGATCGGAGAGCAAATTCAGAAGTTTAGTGGACTAATGATACAAGGAAATTGAGATGCACGAACGGCACTGTTTACGACGCTCAGCCATATCACTCTGTCTCTAACCATCGGTTACGATCATCTCGAGGTCCCCATCCAGGGAGCCTAACGGGACCTACGTGACCTAGACTTCTGGAAAGGGTTTTCATACCCTCATGCCAGGTCATAGCTTGACCAACTTTGCCATTATTCCACTCACTACCTGCCGCGGCAAACATCACTCACCGTGACAACCTATTTGGTGACATGCGTAACACATGCCCCAACCAACGTAATCTATGGAGGTCGACCACTTGCTCCAGTGGGCGACTGCGGCTGCCTAAAACTTTGCGCCTGACTTCAGCATTACTCGAAAGAGAATAGGGCTTTTTTCACAATCAAATGTATAACACGCACAGCTTCTATTTGATGACACACTATTGTGTAATGAACAGGAGAAGAAATAAACCCCATAGTCGCGAGAACCTACTGTTCAGTCATGGGAATCCGGTGCCGAATCCCCGGGGCTTGGGGTGGTGAACCACAAAAAGTCCTACTAGTACGAGCGTAGTACTACATCGGTAGACATTGAAACAGCCCACCACCAACTTCTCGGCATGACTAGTTTGAAGGTGATCGAAAAGGTCAGACTAATCTCAGATCCATTATGACACTGTAAAAACGATGTGTAAGAGTAAAAACCGCCCGGTCCCTAAATCCCATGACTACAAAGTGTTTCACAGTAGTGAATAAGAAAGAAACTAATTTATATCTGGTGCCTTCAAATCCGCAGATTCACCGAATTGTACTGCTCTGACGAAAAAAGGAAGTTATGTACAATAAAATAAAAATAAGGTCAAGGACTTTGTCCAAACACGCATACTTTGCCCGAACCAGCCACTCGGTCGGTCTCCTCTTTGATCTCATTGCGCACATCGTTGAAATCCGTGAAAATTTCCTTTCGATGCAAAAACCGAGCCCATTCCACAGATTTCCCATCGCCCTCAGCTGCACGGATATGCTGGTCGGTTTCATCGACGTGGATGAGTTGTAAAACAAGTGGACGACGTGTCACGATACCCGGACCACGAGGGAGAAAATCACGACCGACCAGATTTTCAAGCACTGAACTTTTCCCGGAACTCTGGAATGGGGCACACATTGAAAAATATGCATGTTTTTGATCGAATAGTAAAAACGGAACAGAACAGAACAGCAATTTATGGGCCACTTCGACTCCAGCGCCTAGTTGAAGACGACGACAGGTGACGCTAATGCAACAAGAAGTTTTAAACGAAAGTCCCCTATCCGGATCATTGAGCCGATGATCTGGATCAGTAAGCTACGAATATCAGGAGAAGCAGAGCAGTACTTAGGGATAAACTTCTTCAACCAATTGAGAACTCCCTCAGCTCTCACAGAATCTTCAGACCGGTTATATTCGCATTCGGGCTGCATAAATGAAGATAGAAAAACCACGTTGCCTGCACATCCAGGTGTACTACAGCCCTTAGATCACTCGAGTGATAAAAATCACTGTGCCTTCATTTGCAAAAATTATTTCATTTTTACTTTCTTTTACCAAATACACAATGATACAAATTTCAGGAAGGGGGAAGCGGTCAATTAAAGGGCTACCATACAACACGTAAAGAATGGTGAAAGTTAGGCGATGGTGGTGGGATTCGAACAGACGTAGCGATAATTTGGTGACGTTACCACCGGGCCACCAACGCCGATTTCTCTTCTTTTACTAAAAAACTACTTTCAATTCGTTACCAAGTGAAAGTAAAAGATCTGTCAGAAAGTGGACCATCGCTTTTCCAGATAGAAATTGGCCAACAATATCGCTTCCGCCCGAAGTATTATTCCGGAAATGCTAGTATTTCAATAACCTTTGCGGTTTGATGCTTATGATTGATTGGGCTTTCTGCCCCGAAGCTTGATCGTGCATTCCCATGTGTCAGTTTTCATTCTAGTCTTTCACATATCAATTAAATCGATCGTTAAAGTATAGGGCAGAATGCGAATAAACTAGGTGTGCATAAAAAGTGAGTAAAATGCACTAGTGCAACTGACACTCGGCTATATCACCCAGTGTCACTAAATATGGATAATTAGACTGTTCTCAAGGTCCGCAACCAGAAAGCCTAACGTGATCTAAGGTGATCCCTCGGTCAAAGTTTCGATACCTTCATTCCATATCAATCCGAACATATTTGATCTTTCTACAACACCTACTCGGAATGCTATTCCCAAGAGGGTAAACCAATCAAATCAAACTTCAAAGAGTCATTCAACAGCACCACATTACATTTTACACTTCACACGTCTGAGCGTAGCATAAGTGTTTGCGGATAGAATCAGACACTTAGATATGTGAGTAATGGAGGATTTAATTCAATTCCAAGGAGTGCATTTGTCGTGGATACATGCAAATGAAGAATGAACTGAAAAGCTAAGAAGCATTGTACAGCAGTTTTTTCAATTTGGTTGGGTTTCATCAGCAGTGCTTCCTAGCTTCTCGGTTCACGCTTAGTTTGCTGTATACACCATAAATTCCCTCGTTGAAACTTAGATATGCACCTAACAATGGTCATTTTGAATCACGCTTGCAGTTCAGTGTGATCCATACTCGTAACTATCATTTAAACAGTACGCATACTGTAGTGTAGTTTGGTCACATAATTTCTGTGATGTATGCGAACAATACTATTCAGTGTAAAAAAGTAGAGCAGCATTGACAAAGTTAAAACCCGTTGAATATTTATAGGTTCCTGGGAATAGATGAAACATCTTAATCAAGTACAGCTGACTTTTTAAAACTATGAGCAAATGACCTAGCTGAAACGCCGTCGGTTATTATAATACGATACAATCTCACAGCTGACCAACTATTGTGTCCAGGAAGTGTTTCGATCGTGTAACTCATTCAGCGGCCAATAGCAAGACATTATCGGGACTATACTATTCCATACAATTTTTCTGTCGTGATGTCCAGAAGGGGATGGGTGAAATAGTGTCAGCCAAACTGCGTTGAAGTTGATCAAAATTGTCACTAGTAATAACCCTTACACATTTTCGAAAACGTCCCTTTTTGTTTAAATAAAACATGAAAATTATTGGTCAATATTAATTTCGCTTAGGTTGCTTCTCATGTTATTATCTAATAACTAATGAGTATTTTCAAACAGGAGGAGTTCTTAAGCCCCAAATGTACGAATATCACTGTAAGTGATTATAATGCAATCTTCAGGAGAACGACATTTAATACCTAATTAGTATCATAGTAACACATGACAGCGGGCAACTAAAAATCACGGTCAAAAGCGGGGTGCCACAGACAACAATTCAAAAACAAATTTCACTCTAAGTGTCAACTACGGGGCTAAAAGTTATAACTAACATTCCAGTATATCACGTGTCCAAACAATCACTTGAAATTCCACCAAATCATTGAAGAACTGGATTGGAACTATGAAATTTACTACACCCTGACTGATCCAAACAACGATGCATTGACCACGGTGCTGACAATGGTGGTGAATAACAGAACAAGCGCAGGTGAGTACTTGGAAACATGACGGATTTCTAGTCGCGTACGCCCAACTGATCACATATATTTGCTTGTTGTTTCATGATCAAGAATACACTC